TGTAGTAACTCTCGAGGACGTGCGGTCAAAGGTCCAACAGCTAGGGGCATGCAAAACATGAGTACCCCCTCCCCCCCCCCTCTTACCGTGGAAAGACTCCTCCTTGAAGATGTCCTTGATGTTGCGCTGCTTTTCCCTGATCTGGCTCTGGCTTGGTCCCGCCGAGAGGAGCTCTTCCTCCAGGCGCTTGCGCTGCAGCTGCTTGGCGTGGGCCCCGCAGGGCAGGGCGGACTTGAAGCAGCAGTCGAGGCAGCTCCCCGTCGTGCACCCTGCCGCAAATTGAGAACAAATAGAAGAAGGGACATGACAAGCATGAGGGTTTCCCTCCACTCTCTGAAAATACTTTTAACACATCCCTTACGACGGTGGTTACATGTCGAACGGGTAGTCTTTCTCTGCGAGGTTGTGGGTACTGTCAAAAAACAACATCAAGTATTGACAAACGACTTCTCACGAAGCCATCAACGGGCCCACGGAGACTAATGCCAGGACAATACGTGCGCCCAGTTTCTCAACAGACCCCAGACGGACGGAGTTATGCATCTGCTAGGAAAATTTCGAAATTGTCGACATCAATATCAACAATCAACAACGACGTCATGAGGCATCAACGGACCCGAGACGCACCAAGTTTAATGTTAACAATTCTCCAAAGTTGTCATGATCATTATCAACAATCGATATCACACTTCATTTTTTCGCTAGAAATAGTCGTGTGTCCATTTTTGATGACGGGCGTCTGCCAACGTCGTTCGATTGAGAACTAAATCACAGAGCCTCCACGACGGGCGGGATTCATACGGCAAAGCGTCCACAATAAGTTGTTCGCCACCTCGCAAGTGCCGGTATGTGCCAGCCAAATTCAAGAGGATTATTCAAGCTCGAAGCCAAACAACAACATTTATAAGTTCATGTCCGACATAGTTCTTCGAAACCTGCTGATTGGTGTTAAAAATTAATTCACTTACTTAAGAGAGGCTGTGGGTGTTGCAAACTCAAACTCCATCCGACGAAGCACGGAACTACAACATACCAGGGCGGAAGAATCTCCAACAGTTACATACATATATCTCTCGAGACTCACCGGCTCTGCCGAGACGGGTCTTGCAGATCTTGCACCGCACTTGCATCACTATGGACGCCCGAATTTTTTGGGGGGGGTTTTCCACAAGCAAGAAAACGAACGGCACAACAGGCGGTGAGATATAACGACCTCGCGAACAGAGAGGAGAAGACGGTAGTCTCGCCAGAGGGAGGGAGGGGGGGGGAGGGGGGGGGGGAGCACTGCGGTAGGTGGAATCCGACGCAGTAGTCGTTGCGGCTACATAGACAGCAGCAGGAGGTGGTTGCCACGAGTTGGGAGGAGCATGGAGCAGTGCGCTTACACCGCCGTTGGGAACAAGGCCGACGGTACATCCAGGTGGGTAAATTTCTACGTGTTGTATCCTTCGCCACTCCGTAACATGTCCACACCACTGCTCCACACGGAGAGACCAACTGCTACTCGCTGCTGCTGCTGACCTTCATGACGGATGCTCTACGACGTGATTACGACATGGTTGCAACAAGATATCTCGACAAACCGCTTTGAGAAACACCAGGGAAGTTGACAACAACCACCACATTGGATGTAAATCATTTGAAAACTTTCCATGCTCTACTGATGGTGTTTACCAACACCCAACATAATAAGAAACAAGCTAACATGATACAACCTGAATGCTATGCCCTACCTACCATGCACCAGGTATACCATTCTCATCTACTGCTGTATAAACATCACTGATACGTTACCCCAAAGGATCAAAAACGATTTGTAAATTCAAAAAAACGGCGGGAAACACCTGCTGTCCGTGAAATTCAAAAATCTGTAGATTTGAAAAACGAGTGATGTAGGGCTGGTGATGTACTGCTGTAGACTTCGTTCCACCTTCCATGATTTTTACAATATTATTCCTATTATGTCTAATAAACCAGCAAGCTGTCAATAGACACTGCGCCGTGTCCCCTGTGAAGGTGAAGGTTACATTTTACAATACACGACACAACGGAGGGATTCTCCCCGATATTTTGTCGTTGACCCAGTAGAGAACTACAGGGGATGTATTGTAAAATGTAAGCTACCTATACAGATGTTTTTGTACTTAGCACCAGCTGGCATCACTGGTATAAATCATCAGTGTATAGACTTAAAAAGACTCGAAATAAGTCCAGTACCCAGCCGGTTTCCCTCCACTCGCTGAAAAGACTCCACCACATCCCGTTCGACTGTGGGTATATCTCGAATGGGTAGTCTTTCTGTGTGTGATTTTATTATTCCTTAACAAGGCCGACGGTACTCGACAAGCCTTCACCGTACAAGCAAATTGTGAGATTTTCGATGTTGTGCCGGCAGCACGATGGTAATATTACAGTACCTACGCACACCCAAAACTTCGAGAGATACAAGAGATGTCATACAACAACAACGCCACCAAAAAAAAACAATATGTGGGTGATGTCTCTCGCGTCGCCTGTGCGGCGGCCACGACATGGAACCAATTCCAGGGGGTGCCGACGCTTCGCGGCGGCGTCAGAACACGTCGACGGAAATCTTGGCAGTTCTTGCTTGGAAAGGTCTCACAAAAAAGACAAAGACATTTTGTAACGGCGGCATACGGGAGGCGTTCTTTATGCACCTTCCTACCTCGTTGAGGCAGCGGGGTAGTCCAACCGTCCCAAGCGACAAAAAAAAAAAACGCTACAAACAAGGGCTGGGAGAGCACGCGTTTTATCATACTCTTTACCATCTCTGTGTCTTCGATTGCGAGCGTAAAGTGGCAGTCTGCCCCCGTTTTAGCAGCAGCGAGTGCCTGCAGCAAAACGCATGCACTCACCGCCCCCAATTCTGACGTAGGTTGGGAGTTCTTCTTGTGGCTGAGGAGGAGCCGATGCCTCCGTCGCTACGACCGCCGCCGCTTGACCTGCCTCCACAGCCGCCGCCGTCGCCGCTTCTTTTCCGCCGTTTGTCCTTGCCCCTTCTCCCTCGGTAGGTGCTACGCCCCGGCCCGGTTCCTGGCTGCGGGGGGCGGGGCTCTTGCCCACGCCGGTGTTGCTAGACGAAACCACTGCCGCCACCGCCGCCGCCGCTGGAGGCTGGGGGCTGCTACTGACGGGAGAGGAAGCCTCCGCTGCTCGTGCCTTCTTCTTGGGGCTGGCATTGCCGGCGGTGTCGCAGCCAGCGGGAGCGGCAGCGGCAGTGCTCTCTCCGTCCTGCGCCTCGCCCGGGTTTTTCTCGTCCCTCTCGGTCACCGCGCTCTCTACATCCATCGCTTCGTCCTGCCCTCTACCGGTGGCCGCCGAGATCTTCCGCTTGCTGCTGTTGGCCGAGTCCGATTCGGGCGAGCCCAACGTCGCCGCCGCCTGCGCCGTAGTAGGGGCGTCTCCTGGTTCCGAATTGCCGGCCTCGTGAACCTTCTGCTTCTTCTTCGGAGAAGGAGCCTCCGTGCCGCTGTCTGCGGGAGGGGGGGAAACGGCCGCGTCAGCTTCCGAAAGAGGGCGCTTCTCAGGACGCCCCCCCCCGCCGCCGACACCCCCGTCCTCTACAGCGGCAACCGTTGCCGCCCCAGGAGCGCTATCTGTCGCCGCCGCCGCGGCCACGGCCGCCGGACCACCACCCACCCCGCTCGTGCCACCGCTCCCTCCCGCCACCGCTCCTAGGTCAACGGCAGAACCTGCCGCGGCGGTTGGTGCCTGCGTGCTTCCCGCCTGCAGCTTGCCCGCCTTCCCCTTCTTGGAGCCGCGGGCGTCTTCTTTCGTCGCCCAGCCGCTACCCCCGCCCGCACCGGCCACGAGCGGGGTGAAGTGCCGCGCCACCGGCTTGGACTTCTTGGCTTTCGGGGCCGGTGTCTTCTTCTTCGCGCCTGCCGCCGGTGCTGCCGCGGCGGGTGCGGCAGCGGGCCTCGCGGCGGTAGCGGCGATGGCAGCGGCGGCGACGGCGGCGGCGCCGCGGACGGGAGTTCTCGGCATCGCCACCGCCGTTGCCGGAACGGGAGATAACGGTACCGCTGGGCTACCGCTTGCGCGGACGGCGCCACGCGACCCGCGCGGAGGGGAGAGAGCGGCGGCGACCCGCGGCGGCGGCGGCGGCGGCGACGACGACGAGGCCTCGACCGCGGTAGTAGCGTTGTTGCTCGAAATAACAACGCCGACAGGTTCCTGTTTGGCCTTGGGGGAGGTTGGGGGAACGGCCGGGGACCCCAGTGGGGCCTTGCCGCCCCGCGGCGGTCCGCGACGTCGGACCGCCGAGGTAGCCGTCTTACTACGGGAACCGCTCGTTGCCGTCGGGGTTTCCGTTGCGGAGGCCGCCGCCGCCGCCGCCGCCGGAGCAGCGGCAGGAGAGGCCGTTGCTGCTGTCGCCTTGGTTTCCCCCGACGTTGAAGCACTCCCCTTCTTCTTACTGTTTTT